CCAAATAAGAAATCGGCCTGCAAGAATGTGCCCCGCAACAAATTCATATCCCCCGATGGCCCCAGGGACCCAGGAAAACTCTAAGGCAACGGGACCCTCAAAGGTCGACGAATAATGCCTTCTCCGCGATGCACAGCCCCCTGTTCCGACGCCTCAGCCCGCATAGTAAGAGGACTCGCGCTGGCATTACACACTGTCCCCCCCTGACAGCGCTAAGCAAGCCTGATGCCCACGGCTCTTCTCGAAGCGTGCCGTAGAGGACGTGTGCAACAGGAGGGAAGAACAAAGCAACGGAGGACGCGGGCTGGGGAAAAAGACTCTGATACTGCCCCAAGGTTATTCCGTTTGCCCTGAGGACATCTTATAATCAAATGTTCACATGTATTATCGTATGTGTAGACACTGGAGGACGTCGTCGCAATATTACCGCAACAGCTCCACATGGAACCCCACTCGTGCACATCGTACCGCGGCGCAACCTAACTTGCCCCGCCGTGCTAAAGCTTAGGAAGGTGTTTTGTGTTGTTCTTCCGAGCCGAACGTACAGCTGCTGCAAACTCCAGCTCGAACAAAAAAGGTTGTGCACACTTGCAGGCCATGGCGACGCGATGGTAGTGCGCGCGCGCGTCAGACGAGCTCGAACCAACACGTCCTGCTGTCTCAACTCACTTTCCTGACATTGCAGGCGATCCGTCAGGCAGCTTCTTCTCCAAAACCATCTCCACGCGGGCATACCCGCTGCAAGGTGACGCGGTGGGACGTCAACAACGTTCGATTTCAGCATAAGGCGAAGACCGCTTTGCAGCACTATCAATGGCTGTAATCATATGGGCATGCCCGCTTCTGGAAGCCCTGGACCCGAACATGCTGTCGTCGCGCGTTTTTCTCCCGCCAACTTCCACTGAGCTTCCGTCGGCTTCCGCAAGCGGGATCATTGCCATGATGCTGCCGACGCCCTTCCACCGCCTTCCTCCGAGGAAGAGCTGACAACTGTTCGATCCCTCGAACGTGAAGCCCTTTTTCCAGGAACGTCCTATATCTGATCACACAGATACACTCTTTACATGTGTATGCACAGATATCTGTATACAAACATATACATACCCACGTAGCATTTTGCGGGGCCTGCTTCACTGCTATAGCGGACTGGCAACTCTATAACTCTGAAGTGCCAGTGCCGTTCGCGGCCCCGCCAGGACCTTGTTTCACCAGCTCCTTCGTTCAGCAGTGCTGCGCTCGCAGCTCGTTATTGGGCAGCGAGGCCAGCTGAGCCAACCGACCTCTTCCCTCCCATCTTCCTCCCGCCCTCCTGCCCTCTTGCACCTTCTTCTGCATTGTTCCTCCCACCTCTCCTCCCGCCTGGGGGCGCCAATCATCTATGTACTACACCAACCCTGGTCAAGCCAGTTTTGGTCACAAGCGCCAAGGACGCATGAGCTGTCCAGGCGAATCCGGTGAAGCGGATCCACCCATCCTGGTCACAAGATGGAGCCGAGCGGGGCCAATGCATGAGCGCATGGGGAGTTCTAACACCTGGCCCCTCTCATTCCTTCAACTACCCTGTGCTCGTGCCCATCGTTCTGAGACAGGACCGCTACCTCACTAGAAACTCTACTGGGATGCAGCTCCCTGGTTTGCGACAGGACCACTTCCCCAATTTCATCTCCAAGATAATCGTGCTTCTCGGGTTTAGACTGCGCCACTTTCTCATTATAATTTCTAGCGCGACACCACTCTCCGTTTTCGACATGGCAGCCGATTGTCCGAACCGACCTGGCACATGTACGCCGCTCCACCTATTCTCCAGGAAGCCCCTAGAAACCTTAGGGGGCCTGCAAAGCTCCCGATCCCCCAGGAATGGGTCCTGGCGACAACGCCTGACTGCAAGAGCAACACCCACCTGGACACCGATTGTGGGACAACCCAACAGGCACACGCACACACCCCTTTACTACACACGCGCAAACGCGATCGCAAACACCCAAACACACACAAACACACTCTCTCGTATGTGATCTGCGAACCACAGATGCACTCACCTGGCTGGCCCGTCAGAAGGCGCTGCGCAATGATAAGTGTAGGTCTAACGAACACACACACACCTCCACCTCCCCCATCCCACTTGCCACCGTGTCCTCCTGCCCATGAGAGCCTTCTGGCACGGTCCTGCGGGTGAAGGCGGGGAGGTCTTGGACGAAGCTCTGGCAATCATCCGATGGCTGCCAGCCATACTTCAACACGATCCTGTCCTCGTTGGACTCCTGGCCGCGGAGGAGGGAAGGAGGATGGGGAGGGCCAGGACTGGAAAAACGACAATTGAAAAACGACGACGTATCGGAGAATTGAAACTGATGACGCGTCACGACTATTGAGATAAAAAGAAACACATGACTGTACAAGCGGGAGTCGGCTGCCCACGACAGAAGAGATGGAACAAGCTGGTCACGACGTCACGACAACCCAAAGAAACCTAAGAATGCCAACGAGACAGGCGACAGGGAAACCAACAACAACCACAACAACAACAGCAGCGACAACACCACCAACAACAACACCAAGCTATACACAACCAACGTAGACCAATTGCTACGTCCCACGAGTAAGGAGATACATGCGCCGTGGCAGACATGTTTTGTGTGCCAACCTACATGGCGAGACGACACGGTGCATCCATTCCACGGAGAATTGACGGACGCCCCAGCAGGCCCCAGCAGCCCTTCCGTCCCACAAATACCCCACTCCATGAGCACGTATGCGTATTCCAAAACACGGCAGGACCATGACAAACGAAAACGAAAGGGAATGAAAGAGCTGAAGCAATCAAAACGACTAGCCATGACACCAGGTGGGCGATGCCAAATCCACCGAGCCTGTCGGCGTGTGTGAGACGTTTTTCCGTTTGAGTCGTCGTCGTCGTCGCCGTCGCCGTTCTCCCCCTTTCCATGGCCCCTCCTCAAGCGATCCAGCCAGACGGACATTGAATAGCGTTGTAGTTGATTCGAAGGGACGCCCCTTTCCTTTGATCTCCTATCTGGCGGGGGAAGAAGCCGGGGGCGTCCCTGGCAGGGTAGCAGAGGGGGGGTCCCCGAAGTGGTCCCCGGGGAACCTCAGGGGTTGTGACGCCCTCGCCCCCGGGCGGCCCCTCGTGGACAAGTGGGACAAGGGGCTGGTCTCCCTGTGGACAGGAGGAACTCAAGACACTTCCCCCCGCCACGACCACCACCACCCCCTCGTCCCGGACTCCCCCCCCCCCCAACCCGGAGGCACCCGCGTCGGCCAGGGCGCCGCGGCGTAGCCCCTCTGCTGGGCTGCCGTGGGCGGCTGCCGCGATGGGGCTCCGGGAGCCTGCATACCGTGGCTGTGCGAGCTGGGTGAGAATCATCAAACTCACGCGGCATGCCTGGCCGTCAGGCATGTTTCCTCTGTTTGCTCCCTTTGCCTCCTCCTCCTCCTCCCCCTCCTCCTCCTCCTCCTCCTCCTCCTCCTTTTAATCTGGTGCCCAAAGTCTTCGCGGGCGCGTGCGGGGACGCGCTGCTGCCTCGGGTGTCTCTCCCTGCGGAAAAATGATCTGCTGTTGCGACGTGCTGCATAGTATCCCACATGCGTCCAAGAGCGCATTCAGATCCACAACAAGGCAGCTCCAAGTGGCCACGGAATTCCCCAAGAGGTCCCCAACAGCGCCCAATAAACTCCCAAGAGAGCCCCAAAGAAGGCTCCGAATGTCAGCGTCGTCGTCGCCACCGCCGCCGCCGCCGCCGTCGTCGTCGTCGTCGTCGTCGTCGTCGTCGTCGTCGTCGTCGTCTTCGTCGTCCCCCTTGAGGGTCGGCGGCACCGGCCGTAAGGCCGTCCCATTTTTTAAACGGGTGAAATATGTTGTTCGTCACCCGGCCGGTTGCTTCTGTTACCTCGGCGAGCTGAGTCAGCCACCCGGTAGGTTGAGGTTAGCTGAGCCTGCCCACCTAACCATGCGGAGCGGCGGCGGGGGCGCAAATGCCAGTCTAGATTCCCCAGCGGCCCAAGCCGCCGCTGGGAGCAGAGGGGCGCCAAAGGCGGAGAACGCGGGAAAGGAAGACAGGGAGAAGCGACGAGGAGGACAAAGCAGAGGCGGGAACAGGGGGCCAATCAGGCAAAGGCTTTTCAATGGCCCACATCCCCTTTCCTCTGTCGGCCTTTCCTCTGCTTGCTTGGCCGGCTCCATGCACGCATCAACTCAGTAGGGGTGAGTGCCGTTGGGGACAGATGACGAGGGAAATCCTAGCCACTTCTGCGTCTCATCACTCAGGTTGCGATACGTCGCGCCTGTTGCACTGTGGCGCATCCCGCATGTGGCGCCGGAGTCGCCCTGTGGCGCAGCCCGCATGCGTCCCCGCGACCCATGTCGACACACCCCTCACACGCTTGGTGTCCGCATAGGGGGCCCCACCGAAAGTCCCAGTAGCGCAGCCCGCACGCGCACACGCCACACATGCCGGCACACCCCTCACACGCTTCGTGGCCCCACGAAGAGCTCCACCGAAGGTCCCAGTAGCAAAGCCCGCATGCGTCCCCGCCACCCACGTCAGCACTCACTCACTCGCTTCGTGGCCCCATATGGAGCCCAACCGAAGGTCCCAGTGGCGCAGCCCGCATGCGTCCCCACCACGCATTTCGTCACACCCGTCGCACGTTTCGTGGCCGCACAGGGAGCTCTACCGACGGCCCTGGCGCAGCCCGCATGCGCCCCCGCCATCCATTGTGGCACACCCCTCACACGCTTCGTGGCCTCATAGGGCCCCAGACCTACCGACCCTACAACCCCCCTCCCCAACGTAGCCAATCCCTACCTGAACCTGACCCAGGCCCTGTCGACACTGCGCCAAGGCTAAGCTAACCCATAACGTGGCCAACGGCTCGGCGACACCAGTGTGTCACGCGCGCGCTGTAGCAAATGATGAACCAGAATAGGGCGACACAGCAAAATGCAATGCAAAAAGTGCCAACTGTATCACTAATCCCTCTTCGTTTCCAAAGGAAATCTGGCCGGCGCTGAAGCGAGAGCAACTTTCGCAATCATGGATTTGGCCGGCGCTCTGGCGAGAGTAACATTCTCAATCATGGATGCGGCCGGCGCTGAGGCGAGAGCAACTTTCGCAATCGTGGATGTGGCCAGCGCTAGGGCGAGAGTAACTTAGATAATAATGGGTGTGGCCGGCGCTGGTGCGACATTAACATTTGCAATCATGGATATGGCCAGCGCTAAGGCGAGAGTAATTTTCGCGATCGTGGGTGGCTGGCGCTGAGGCGAGAGCAACATTCGCAATCGTGGATGTTGCCGGCGCCAAGGCGACAGCAATACTCGCAATCATGGATGTGGCCAGCGTTGAGGCGAGAGCAACGTTGGCAATCATGGATATGGCTGGCGCTGAGGCGACAGCAGCCGTCGTAGTCGTGGATGTGGCTGGCGCTGAGGCGAGAGTGATGTTCGCAATGACGGATGTGGTTGGCACTGAAGCGAGAGCAACGTTCGCAATCATTGACGTGGCAGGCGAAGATGCGAACGCACAATTCGCAATCATGGATGCGGCCTGCGCTGCGGCGAAAGCAACATATGCAACCACGGATGCGGCCTGGGGAGGCCAACGCAAAGTGGATATAAAGGATGTGGCCACTGGTGAGGCCTGCACCGAAGGTCCCAGTGGCAAAGCCCGCATGCGTCCCCGCCACCCACTTCGGCACTCACTCGCACGCTTCGTGGCCCCATAGGGAGCACCACCGAAGGTCTCAGTGGTGCAGCCCGCATGCGCCCCCACCACCGATTTCGTCACACCCCTCGCACGTTTCGTGGCCCCAAAGGGAGCTCTACCGTTGGACCCATAGGCGCAGCCCGCATGCGCCCCCGCCACCCACTGCGGCATACCCCTCACACGCTTCGTGGTCTCGTATGGCCCCAGACCTATCGACCCTAGGGCCAGCTCTTCATCACAGAAATTGAGAGCCCAGGTCCCCGAAGCAGGCCCTCCAGGGGTTCCCGATGTCAACAAACTAACCCCAGGAAGCATTTAAGAACTCCCCCGGCGATAGCACCGCATTTTTATTCGATATTCCGAGGGGCCGAAATAACCGCACGATAGGTTTAGCACCCGGACACACAACAAATTCGCGGAGGCCTGGCCCCTGGGACTTGGGCCCTGACAGGTGACTTGGGCCCTGACAGGCCTTGGGCCCCGAGGGAAGGAGGGGGGCGCGGGAGGAGGAGGAGGAGGAGGAGGAGGAGGAGGAGGAGGAGGGGGCAGGAGGAAGTTCGTGGGTGGAGGAGAGGAGGAGGAGGATGAGGAGGAGGAAGAGGAGGAGGAGGGCTCCTGGTGCCAGGTAACGCTTCCAGGGTGCGGAAGGGTTATCGATTTGCCGGAAGGGGGGGGGGGTTCTTAACTGCTTCCTGGGGTTAGTCGCCACGACTTTTGCCGATGCGCCGGATGTCTGCGAGGTCGCTTTCGACAGCGCGTTACTCCGACACACCTGAAGTGGCTTCGGCGACGGCGACGGTGACCACGGCGCCGGACTCGCAGAGCCCCCGACCTCACCCAGGGGACCGGCGCGCCCCGAGGTGTCCCGAGAGCCTGCGATTGAGAGGGCGAGAGAGAACGCCCACCGTGACTCCCACCACGACGCACGGAGGTCCCCAGAGGGCCTGCGGATCGGACCAGGCGGAGGCTTCCTGAGGCCTCTCCTGAGGGCCCACGACATGGCAGGACACCAGCCGAGACAAAGGTTCCCGAGTGTCGACGACCCACCGACGGCGACAGTGACGGCGGCGGCGGCGAAGACCGATAGCGGCGCCATGGCCGCCCGACCCCAAGCTCACCGGGGAATGGCCTTTCACTGCGGGCGCGCCTCTTCTGAGCGCCCGCGGGGCCTGAAACACGCATTTGTGTTTTCTCCGGATCAAAATGAAAATACGGTGGCTGCGACGCACGCCGCTCGAGACAGCTTCCGAGCCAAAATGCTGACGGTTCGGGTGCACGCTGCGTTGATACTTTCCCTAGCCATGCGCTGCTGTCTAACCACTGATTGCTACTTGCCTGCTTGGCAATCCTGGCGAGCCAACCTCAGGCGCGCAGGCACTGAGAGACCGGTCTCGTGAATTCCCAAAACGGCACCCTCACCACAGCCTCCACGTGCGCCACCCTCACCACGCTCGGCACGCCTGCCTAGAGCGGAGGCCTCCCAGATGGGGTCCGAGCAGCCGGGGTCGGAGGACGGCACAGCATCGCCGATGTACCGCGGATGCATCGGCGATGCGTCGGCGATGCATCGGCGACGTCGGCGATGCATCGGCGACGGTGGCGCGGAGAGAATTGGGCTCCGTATCGAGACGCATCGCCGATGCATCGGCAATGCATCGACGACGTCGGCGATGCATCCGCGACGGTGGCTCGCCGATGCATCGGCGATGCGGCGCGGTCCTCCGACCCCGTCTCCTCCGAACACGATCCAGGAGGCCCAGACCAGAGAGGCCCAGACACAGACCACCCGCGCGTCGTGGAACAATCGCCGCGGACGCTTCATTGGCTGGTCTCGGCCGCGGGGGTCCCTCACTGGGCCCCAGAACCATCGTTTGATCGCCTTATCGATTAATCGACACCTGTCGTCATGGGCGTGGCCTGGGCCACACCAGCCGAACAACCCCCGTAGATGGGGATATAGGCTGTGTCCTTCGGATCTCGAGGGGTAATTCTATCCCCAACTGCGATGCCGAGATGGTGGGGGTCTGGATGGGGATGGGGATGGGGATAGGGGTCCGTTAAGCGATACTGACCCGGGATGAAAAGCCGGCCCCCGGGAAATGGTCGAGATCTCCGGGGGAAGGATCCGCCAGCATCGAATCGGTAAATCGGATCGAATCGAAACGTGCATCGGGTCGGGCTGCGTCGGCATGGAATCGGAATCGAATCAGATCGGCTGGAGCTCGGCGCCCTGGCGCGAGCGGCCGAACGACCCCCGTCGCGGGACTCTCTGGCAACACGGTTGGCCGCCACCGAAACCATCAATCCAACGCTGACCGCGCAAAAACGCCGCCGAGCCCCTCGCAGGGCCAGGCTCCCAGCTGGGACGAAAGCGATGCCGTGATGCGGTTGGCTCAGGATGCGCTCCAGGACTTCCAGGGTATCCAGCGGGCTTCGTTCCTGGAGCCCGTTCGGGCCATGAGAAGAACAAGCGTCTGCCATCAGCATATCATCTCGCAGAGGTCCGCGCAGCTTTCTTACATCGGCGCTAGACCCTCCCTCCCTGGCGCGCGGATCGCGCCAGGGGCGGCGCCGATCCTTGGAACCCGCGCAACATTGCAAGAAACAATGCTTATGCCGTTCTCTTTTTGCCTCGAACAAGGAAATCGACACCTCCTTGGACAAGAAACCCAGGTCGTGTCGAAGAATCGTCCGGGGGACTTCCCTGGCCAGGGGTAGATCTTCATCCCGGGTCCGCTTCTGACGGTCCCGGGGCCCGAAAACAGCACCCCGAGGCCCAAAACGAGGAACTAATGCGAAGTAAGCACACATCGACGATCAAAGCTGCGCATTACTTCTCCATGGCGGTGTAGAACATTCGGGGAGATCTTGGAGCGCGTCCTCGCCACGGATTCTCGAGACGGTGGGGGCCTGAGCCCTCCTCCCAGACCCTCGACGTCATGAATGGTCATGGCGTGGACCCCTGCAAATCTCTAGACCCTTTCCCCGGGAGACCGGCTCTTCATCCCGAGTCGCTTTTCGACGGCCCCGCAAGGCCTGGCGAAAGGCCCACAGAAGCAGAAACATCGGTCCCCCAAACCGCCCATTGTGATTGGGACGCACACAGACATGCGCGTACGATGTGCGTTTGTTCGAGGCGCACACCCGGCCCGAAGTGCACAATCTCGTAGCAGATCTTCTCCCGAGCGGTGTGGCCAGAAAGCGCCCGCAACGTAGCTTACCCTGGAAGATTTCCGAGCGAGAGCGTCCCCCTTGCGTGGTCGACGCACATACAGTGCAAGAATATCTGGGTGGTGCCGAATGATTATTGATGGTAGATGTTTTCGGCATTGGGCGGAGGGGGGGGGGGGTCTGGCTCCGGACCTCTGCTTAGCGCGACTGTTTTGAACAATTCACCCATGGGGAGTTGCATGGGGAGCCGTCCACCTGCTTGAAACAGGTGCCCAAAACAACCAAGATCTACTCCGTCGGGGGGGAGGGGGAGGGTCAGGCGTTGCCAGAACTGGGTTTAGTGGGACCTGGTTTAATGATGTGTACTGGGTGGCGCCCCCCAGGCCCCGTTCTACTAACCGGAACTACCGTCACCCGAAAAAACACCAACTACGCTTTCCTCGCGGCCAGTCTTTCGGGTGTTGCCAGAAATGGTCCTGGCCCAAGGTGCCCCGAGCGTCTCGCGCCGTTCTGGAGCCCCTGGGGCCTTCAGGGCCTCGTGAAGGGTGCTCTAGAAACCATTCGTGCCTCCACAGAAATCCTGGGGACACCTTGGGACAAGGACACCTCTGGCAACACCCGAAGTGCTTCATCAGAAATTCGGTTGACCGTCCCAGAGCCCGAACACGCCCCCTGAAGGCCGAAAATAATGAAACTCGGGTTACAAAGAGGTCCCGTTACCGCTACTCCCCGGACCTCTGCTGGGGCGGGTTCTGATGAGCACGTCACGGAGCATCCCGCCGCGGTCACGCGGGCTTTTTAGGACAAGCAGCGGCATCGGTATCTTTTCCAGCCCTGAGTATTGCTCGTTTGCTTATGGAGACGTTGGTGGCCTGAGCCCTCCTCCCAAACCCTCGACGTCGTGATTTTTGTCATGGCGTAGACCATATACCCTTTCACCGGGACCGGCTTGTCGTCCTGGGCCGTTGTTCGACGGCCCGAAAGCCAGGTGAGGCCCCAAACCGCCCGTGGTGATCTATGAGACGGTCGAATCCTCGCACGCGTCCTCGGCGCAAGCCCAATGAGGTACCGTTGATCCGGGCCCCCCCGGGCCAGCGGCCTCGCGGCACGATTGGGGATGGCGCTGTCGTGCCCTCGGCGGCAGCGCCGTCGGCGCCTGCGACGGCGGCGGCGCGGGCCGACGGCGGCGCCCCCTCTCCTGCCGGGTGATCACGAAGTCCGTGCCCTCCGGCAGGCCGAGCGCACCGAGGTGCTGGATGTCCTTCGCCTGCGGCCGCCCAGCGGCAGGGCGTGGTCGGCATCGGATCGGGAGGTCGGATCGGTCGGACCTGCGAGGCGGGCATTGGTCCACAGCTCGGGGGAGGAAGCGGGTGCCAATACAGCGGCTGTTCCTGGAGGGCTCTCGTCGCCACTGCCGGATTCTCCGTGAGGTCCTGGTCAGAACGGACCCCTGGAGAGGTCCGAGGAGACGCGGTATCGGTATCTCCTGGTTCCCCCAATACCCACCGATTGGAAGATCGCTCTTTTGGGGCCTCGGTCGGCAGTGGATACGGATACAGATTATAGATGTATACGTGTATATGTCTATATATATACACATATATATATGTGTGTATATATATATATGCGGCCCTGCCAGGGCCCGAGCATAACAATCGCCTGCCGAGGTCCCCGACGATCGATCTCCCAAGCGGTGGTTATTGAGAAATCCGTGCCTCGCAGGGTCAGGCTACGTCGGCACGGAGTCGAGATCGGATCGGGTCGGCCGCGCCAGGATGCACGGCCTCACCATTCAAACATCGGGCAACACTGGATCCTCGGAGCATCGGGATCGAATCGGATCGGGCCTGCCAGAGAACCGATACAGAATTGCATCGATCTGAGCAAGAAGCTTGCTCGAGGGAGGAGGCCGATGAGTCGAGGCGGAGGAGGGATGGGAATCGAGGTGGATCGATGACCGAATACCCAAATCCATGGACGTGTCGAGGGATCCGCGGGGAGCCTCTGGTGAGAAGTCGACAGAAGCCCCAGGCGTCGCTTTGCGCGGGGCTTGCCGATCGACGGATTCGATGCAAGAGTGGCGGCCTGCGTGGTTGGGATTTTGCCCCCCCACAAACCGCGCGCCACAGGTTATTCCAGCGAAGGGCCACGGTTACGTGTAGCCGAGGTCTCAGATCCACACCAGGTGGTAGATTGCATCCACGGGCTGAGTTTTCACAGGCAGTGTAATTCGAGCTCGGGATAGCAAGGGATCCCTCATCACAGTATCGTATCCACAGTCCTTGCTCTGATTCGACTGGGCTGAAAGCCGCGAAGGCGGGGAAATTGAGTCCTCCACACAGCACCGGACAGACCAGGCGACACAGCTTGCAGCGCACCGCGAGGTGGAGGACAGTGGAGATCTAGGCGGTCGAACAACAACATCGTGGTCGCGCGATTAAATGCACTACCCTTGTCATCACCGCCGTGCATACCAAACCACAATCGATGATCGCATCACCAAGTTCCCGTTCCAAAGGGCCCCTAGGACCTCTGGAAGCCTCTGCTTGGAGCACCGCGGGGGGGCGCTAGAGAGATAGGGAGCTCATCAGTGAACGCCGAGGTGGAGGAGATTTAACCGAGCCCCGCAACTTGTAAGAAGGGCTCACATGCGGAGACATGTTTATCAGCGCCGTGTCTTCTCAACGCCACGTTTGCGGTACAAGGGTATTGAACAGTTTGGGGGTGAAGGGGTCCAGGCCAAGCGGGCTCCGCCCACCCATCGGATATCTGATCCATCTCTCAGCCACCACGGGTATCTGTAAAGCACTGGTTCACAAGTTTGAGACAGCTATACAACATCCTATAGCTACATTCCCCGATTCACCTTTCAGCCAGCCGCAACCCCCGTGGTGATCCAAGCCGGGACCTGCGGAGGAGGAGGAGGCGGAGGAGGAGGAGGAGGAGGAGGGGAATGACGAGGAGGAGGCGGAGGAGGAGGAGGAAGAGGAGGAGGATGTTGATGTAAATTGCCTTTCCTTTGCCCCCGGTAGGCGGCCGTCGCCGCGGGTCAGGCCCACCTCGAGATCCTGGTCGTAGCGCGCCCCAGCGGGGGGCACATGGACAACACTTCGGGCGCAACGTTGGAAGCTCCAGCGTGTCTTCTGGTATGACGGCGGGTGGGGGGGTCCACCCAGTCCCCTCCTCCTCCTCCTCTTCCTCCTCCTCCTGCTCCTCCTCCTCCATCCTCCACACATATTCATCCTCCTTCTCATCCTCTTCCGCATCCTGGTCCATGTTCCCTCTATCTCCCTCCTTCTCATCCGCCGGACATCCTCCTCCTCCTCCTCCTTTCATTCATCGCTATGTCAATCATCCTCCTCCTCCCCTCCTCCTTCTCCTCGTCCTTCTCCGCATCCTTCCTCCTACTCATCACCATCCTTCTGCATCCTCCTCATCCTCGACCTCTCCCTTCTTCCGTCCTCCGTCCTCCTCCTTCCCGCCATTCCCTTCTCCGGCTGACCCTGCTTCCTCCTGAGCTCTCCCCCCACAACTCCCTCCCCGGCGCCCCCTGCATGCACTTCGCCTGCATTGCCACTTGGTGGATGCGGTAGACGGACTTCAGTCCTGGCAGCTAGGTTGCGACACTCATGGGCTACACATGCACTGCGCAATGGCGTGCGCGATAGAGCGCACCATTGCTTCATTGGTTGCGCCATTGGTTGCGCCATAGGTTTCGCCATGGGTTGCACCATAGGCTTCGCCCTCAACTGCCGAACATAAGGCGGCTTGCTATGGGCTGCAACGAAAATCAAACGGCATGCAAGTTGTTGCGCAGTAGGTGTCGCCCTCGGCCACCATCAAACGAAAAACAGACAAAGGAAAAGCACAACAAAATAGCCTGGCGAATGACCCAACCATATGCAGTTGTGAGTACCGTCGTTGCGGGCATCGCCTTCGGAAGAGCTCCCTGTAGGGCCACGGAACAAACGTGGGAGGGGTGTGCCAAAATTTGTCTGGTGGGCGCATGCGAAAACAGCCACTGGGGCCGTCGGTAGAATTCCCCCTGGGGCCACGGAACGCGTGAGAGATGTGCCGAAATAGGTGCGGTGAGCGCATGCGAGCGCAGCCATTGGGGCCACGAAACGCGTGAGAGATGTGCCTGAATGGGCGTGGGTGGCGCATGCGGGCCGTGGCACTGAGGCCTTCGGTGGAGCTCCCTGTGGGGCCACGGAACGCGTGATGGGTGTGCCCGCATGGGTGTGCGTGACACATGCGGGCGGCGGCACGGGCCTGCGGTGGAGCTCTCGATGTGGCCACGAAACGTGAAAGGGTTGTGCCGAAATGAGTGTGCGTGACGCATGCGGGCGGTGGCACTGGGGCCTGCGGTGGAGCTCCCTGTGGGGCCACGGAACGTGTGAGGGGTGCGCCCCAGTTGGTGTGCGCGACGCATGCGGGCGGTGGCACTGTGGCCGTCGGTGGAGCTCCCGATGGGGCCACGAAACGTGTGAGGGTTGTGCCGAAATGGGCGTGGGTCACGCATGCGGGCGGTGGCACTGGGGCCGTCGGTGGAGCTCCCTGTGGGGCCGCGAAACGTGTGAGGGGTGTACCGAAATGGGCGTGGGTGACGCATGCGGGCGGTGGCACTGTGGCCGTCGGTGGAGCTCCCGATGGGGACACGAAACGTGAAAGGGTTGCGCCGAAATGTGCGTGCGTGACGCATGCGGGCGGACGTGTGAGGGGTGTACAGAGATGGGTGTGCGTGACGCATGCGGGAGGTGGCACTGTGGCTGTCGGTCGAGCTCCTTATGGTGCCCCGAAACGTGTGAGGTGTGTGCCGACATGGCTGCGGTGGGCGCATGCGAACGCAGCCACTAGCGCCTTCGGTGGGGCTCCCTGTGGGGCCGCGAATCGTGTGAGGAGTGTGCCGGAATAGGCGTGGGTGACGCATGCGGGCGGTGGCACTGGGGCCTTCGGTGGCGCTCCCTGTGGGGCCACGAAGCATGTGAGGGGTGTACCGACATGGGCGTGGGTGGCGCATGCAGGCGGTGGCACTGGGGCCTTCGGTGGAGCTCCCTGTGGGGCCACGAATCGTGTGAGGAGTGTGCAAGAATGGGCATGGGTGACGCATGCGGGCGGTGGCACTGGGGCCTTCGGTGGCGCTCCCTGTGGGGCCACGAAGCATGTGAGGGGTGTACCGAAATGGGCGTGGGTGACGCACGCAGGCGGTGGCACTGGGGCCTTCGGTGGAGCTCCCTGTGGGGCCGCGAAACGTGTGAGGGGTGTGCCGAAATGGGTGGAGTGCCCTATGGGGCCGCGGAACGTGTGAGGGGTGCGCCCCAATTGGTGTGCGTGACGCATGCGGGCGGTGGCACTGGGGCCGTCGGTGGAGCTCCCTGTGGGGCCGCGAAACGTCTGACGGGTGTACAGAGATGGGTGTGCGTGACGCATGCAGGCGGTGGCACTGGGGCCTGCTGTGCAGCTCCCTGTGAGGCCACGAAACGTGTGAGCGGTGTGCCGAAATGGGTGTGCGTGACGCATGCGGGCGGTGGCAATTGTAACCACTCAGCAAGCCTCACTGCGCCACATATAATATGAATGTATGTGTTGCCAACTCGGGACACCACACCATGAACAACATATACCATATACCATGTGTTGCGCCAGATGTTGCGCTATCCGTATATGTGCAAGCACATGGAAGCATAAGCGCATGCGTAATCACATGCAGGTGTCTGGGTGTCTGTTTAGCCACGTGTTTGTGTATACAGACTCCTCGAACGGTGCTTGCCCCTAGGGTTTGTTATTTGCTTGTCGTTAAGAACTGGTGCCGCCCTAGATTGCACAACATAAATTGAACCGCACAGGTTGCACCACATAGAATGCATCGCAAAGATCTCCTGTTCCAAAACCGAAGTATGATCCACAAGCGCGAGGCTTCGCGCGCGGATGCCGACACTCTTCAAACACCGCAGGTTTCGTACGGATTTCAAAAGCGGGGGTCCCGAAAACAAATGAAACAAATGTTTTAGCAACCTGATGTTTCAAAACAATCTGCGCGCGTTCTTGCAAATTCTTAGATCTATAACAACACACCTTTATCACTTCATCAAATGGTACCATGCGGCGCTATCGCGCGCGCGTGCCGGAATCATTCGAACGCCTGTGCGCGTTTACCCAGGGCACGAATCCGATGCAAAACGAAACAACATCCTCACGCGCGCGGGGTCGCGTGCGCAGGCCGAAATCCGTCAAAACCGCAGGTTAGGGCTTCAAGATCGAGGTTCCCGAACACAATTTTTTTGCAACATGGTTTCTCCAAAAAACTGCGCGCTGTCCTGCGACATCTGAAGGAAATCCTGTGCCCCTGGTACATTCACCAAGCGAGACAAACCACGCGGGCTTGTCGGGCGCGTGCCGGAATCATCCGAACGCCGTGCGCGCTCGGGGGGCACAATCCTTGCCAAATAATACCATGCGGCCCACTCGCACCCGTCGACCGCGCGCGCATGTCGAAACCCGGCCACAACCTTCATCACCGACATGTGCACACCATCATTGCCATCGGCGTGACCAACGTCGGCGCCGTCATTGGTCCTGCCGTCATCACCGCCATCATCGTCACCAGTTTCGCTACTATCATCACCGTGTCTACCGTTGTCGACGTCGCCATCATACCGCGCCCGCCCGAATCGCCGACTCGCAGTGTAGTGGCCGCGTCCCACGTGTCAGCGCGGCCTGCGAGACTCGCTGGGGAGTCCCCAGCGGTGAGCGCCACCGAAGCCGCGTCGGTTGCGCCAAACGAGCTGGCTGCTCAGCGCGCGTGTCTGCGCGCGCTAGCGCGGCCTCAGCGGTGCACCAGCCAGCGCCAAGCAATAATTGCAATCATCGCCGCCGCATCGGTTTTGAAAACCAAGTTCCAGGTGGGTGGGTGGAATGATTGCGCGAGCAGCGGACTTGACAACTTCATTTTGGTGGGGTAAACTGCGCACCTAAATTTGCAACACCTAACTTGCACAACACAGGTTGCACCGCATTACTTGCACCATATGGATTGCACAACGTTGACTACACCACAAAAGGTGCAGAACACGGATTGCGCCACATAGACAACAAATATAGCACCACACAGATTGCACAACACAGACTGCATCACATAGTTTGCACAACATATGTCGCACCAGTTAAACTGCACAACAGAGATTGCAACACATAATTATAACAACGCTTCCACCATATAGATGGCACCGTAAATTCTACACCACACACATTGCACAACCTATATTGTGCCGCATAAACCGCACAACACGAATTGCACAAGATGAACTGCGCAGCGTAGATTCCCTTCAATTGATAAGGATTAGATTTCCCCGCCGGATTCTCCGGCCCCCTTTGTCGTATTTAAGTGTACATATGATTCTGCCCCATCGTCCATCCGAACCATGAATTCATACCATCCAAGACAGGCCAGTATCGACCCCTCTCGTCATCCTCTGGGAAAAAACTATGCGCGCGCACTCGTTTATCAAAAACCAGCAGTTTGTTCAAAAAACCCTTGCAAAAAAAAAGCGGAGTGCACACGCGCGCGTCGTCGCGCGCGCATGCCGAAATCCTTCAAAAACCTCCGGCTTCGTAAGGATTTGAGAATCGAGCGTCCAAGACAAAAAACTACAACAATTACCCTGGCGAAGGACCAAGCCATTTGCAGTTGTGAACACCGTCGTTGTATGCACCGCAATCGGAAGAGCCGCCTATGGGGCCACGAACCGTTTGAGGGGTGTGCCAAATTTGCAAGGTGGGTGCGAAGACAGCAAATAGGGCCGTCGGTGGAATCCCCTCTGGGGCCACGAAGCGCGAGAGAGGTGTGCCGAAATAGGTGCGGTGGGCGCATGCGAACGCAGCCATTGGCGGAGTGGCGTGGGTGACGCATGCGGGCGGTGGCACTGGGGCCCCCGGCGGAGCTCCCTGTGGGGCCACGAATCGTGTGAGGGGTGTGCCGACATGGGTGTGAGTAACGCATGCGGGCGGTAGCACTGGGGCCTCCGGTGGAGTTCCCTATGGGGCCACGCAGCGCTGTACTCGGTGGGCGAAACGCAGGGAGGAGGGAGAAGGGGAAGGAGGAGGAGGAGTGAGGGACGCAGGGCGCTGTCTTTTCAAAACGAGGACCCAACACCACAATATGGTTGGGAACGAATGGTTTCGCAACACGGATTTGCAAAACAAGTCTGCGAGCGCTCTTGAGAATTCGTAAGAAAACCATAGGTTTATCCATGTCTTATAATGCTACCAAACGGACTTCGCGCGCGCATATCGAACTCGGTCGGGCGCCCTTTTGCGCGTGCTGTCGCCAGAATCCTTTGCAACAAATTGGACGAAGTGCCCGCGTGCGCGTAGTCGCGCGCGCATGCCGAAATCTTTCCAAAACCATGGGTTTCGCAGAAATTTAACAACCGAGTGTCCCGAAACCATACAAGAACAGATCGCTTCGCAACGTCAGCTTTCAGAATAAGTTTGTGCTCCCTTTTGGCGAGCCCGTAAGAAGACCAAACGTTTTAAACATTCCCACGGGATTCTTCTAAACGGGCCTTTCGCACCGCATGCCGAAATCATTCGAAAACCGTTGCGCG